TTGAAAACCCGAGTTGAAAACCCGAGTTTGTAGCAAAGATGTCAGACAAAATGTGAATGTTTTTTTGGGCTCAAATGAAAGAGCAGGTCGAGAAATGGCGTGCTAAGGCCTATAAAGATGATTTTGAACCAGGGGAGACTCCTAGACCCCACTGGACAATGTTGTCACAATTGCGCTTTTCAATTGAAAACAGACATCATCTTTAGAGAGATTTGTCATCTTTAAAGACTTCTGCACGCCATTTCTCGACCCGCTCTTTCATTTGAGCTCAAAAAAACATTCATATCTTGTCTGACATCTCTGTTACAAACTCTGGTCATCAACTCTGGTTTTCAGTTGAAATTAGAATTGTTAATTTACGCAATAATAGGATTGCATTGACGATTTTGTCTTAACTCGCAAAAATCTTCAAACAATTTACTATCGATTGGTCATAAACTTTTTTGGAAATAATGAAATAGAGGGGATAACGCCTTTTTTTTCAGAGGTGATTTTTCAAAAATTTATTTTAAAAAAAGTACTAACTAGCAAATGTTTTTTATTAGCTCGCAATTATCTTCAAAACTACTTCAATGAGGAAAAAAATAAAAATTTGGAATATCTATACATGCGGGGCTAATCGATCGGATTTGAACTAGAGCAATAGAGTGTCAGCCGGCAACTATTATTTATAAACAAATGACGATGGTGAAACACTTGTAATTCATCAGCAGATGAATGTAATGCATTTTTCAGTGTTTAAGGATTACACAATTAATTAGTAATTTAAAAAAACTAATGACGTACTAATTAAGAATCAACATTCACTTGGCGAAAAAATACGATTTTGCCGAAAGTTGACTTCCCCTGGAAAAATCAAAGATCTAGCACTTTGGCCCCAGGTGAAAACATTTTTTTTTATTTTTTACTTTTCCCACCACTGTTGATATTTCTGCATAGCCCGTCACTTGAATCATCGGAATCAACGGTCACTCGTCGCTTTAAATAAAATTCATTAATTAATTCAATTACATGACTTCATTTCAGGTTTGAAAAATATCCAAAACCGGATGCGACCAAAGCGCATTGTAAACCCGCCCCACACCCGGCACCCCCCCTCCTCCCCCCTTCCCCCCTAAATTAATCCTAATTACCTAAAAAAAGGCAGAGAGTGGGATTCGAAATAGACCCCAACTGGTCCCCCAAAAAGCCCGCCTCGCGCACCCCCACCAGCCCAACTCCACTCAATTTGTCGAAACACTCTCCAGTGTTCAGTGTATCCGCATGTGCGCGCCACTGACATTTGACAGCTGCGAATCCATCGCAGCCAAGCAGAAGCGATCCCCTCGGCATCTCTTCAGTCGTGAGTGTGAATCAAGTGAGTGCAGATCGTAATAATCGCTCCAGGCGCGCAAAAAAGCCCAAAAAACCCCTTCGATTCGCCAATTCCATAGCCAACCACTCGAAACAACAATTCCGCCCGACAATCCCTCAACTCACCCCCACAATCCCCATGCAAACGCCATAAAAAAAAATCTTGTGAGTATCGCGTGTCCCGGGGTCAATTGTCCCCCGAAGTCCAAAAGCAGCAGAAAATTTCCGCGACAGTCATCGATTAAACCGCACAAATAAAATTAAAAACTGAACGAAGAAGTTGAAAGAGGTGTCGATTACCCGTAAAAATGGATAAAGAAGAGGATCAAAAGCAGTCCTCCCCGGTGCCGCCGATAAAGCGTGACTCGGACTCGATGGACGACTTCGAGCACGTAGAGGACGTCGTCTGCAGGGAGAAGCCCTCCCCGAGTGACGTGAATCCCCAGTTGGTGGAGGTGTCGCGCGCCCCGACGAACCTCTTCGACAGGGAGACAAACGTAAGCCGTAACCTCCTGGACACGACAGTCCAGGACGACAGCAAAGAGGACATCCTGAAGCCAGTGCCAGCGACGCCCCCTCCCTCAGCGGATTTCGACAAGTTCAGTGATCAGATGTCCGGGGACCCCTTCACCTCGAACCTGCAGGATCACCTCGGGAGGTTCGACCCGAAGAGGATGACCTCGGAGTTCGTCGAGTCTGAGAGGAACTTCCAGGGGAGTCGCGAGGAGGAGGACAGGGAGGACAGAGAGTCACTGAACAGTGGAAACGACTTCTTCGGGAGGGGATCCGACGATGACTCCAGTGCCAAGTCGATGATCGAGAGGGAGAGGGGCTTCCAGGAGGACAAGGATATGTCGGTGAAGGAGTCGGTGCTTCCTGCCCCGGAGAAGGCACCGGTCATGGACTTCCTGGGGGACGAGGGGAGCTGGGGGGCGGGGGCGGGGGCTGGGACTGCCCCCACGAAACCGCTGCCACCGGTGCCGAGGGATGGCGGTGTCAGTGGCAATGAAACTGGGGATTCGGAGTTTGAGAGTGAGCCGGAGCCTTCCCCGGCGAAGGTCGCCAGTGCGCACGGGGGCAGCAGGCTCGGAGAGGAGAGGCAGGACCTCGAGGAAATTGCCCCCAGGAAGATCTTTGCGGACATGGGGCTTGGTGAGTCCAGATTTTTTAGTTATTTACTGGCGCCGGCTGATGCCCTCTCATTCGGCCATTTTCAATTAATTGGTTGTAATTCAGTGGTAAAGCGGTAAACCGGGTCAAGTCGTTTTTTACTATTGCCTAGTTTTTGACGAATATCTCGGAATCTAAGAGAGGTAGCAAAATTTTTCTCATGACTTTTTTTATAACGCTCTATTGGCTCTACAAAAAAGGTCGTGACAAAAATCTTTCTATCTCTTTTAGATTCCGAGATATTCGTCAATTATTCTCGTTGCAAAAAGCAATGTACCAATTCATCAGCTGTTCAGCTTTTATATTACGATAAGTGATTTGGTCGTGTTCTAATTTCTATGCTCGCTGAATACGATTTTAATCATCATAGGAAACTTGCATGAATTTTTTTTAACTTTCAAGTTTGGGACCTGATAATTCATTTTTCATTCACAAAAGTTTGAAATAGGGCTCATTGGAATGGCTCATGTGGGAAAAAAATTGAATTTCATAATTTTCGTGTCTGATAAGGATAACTAGTGGCATGAAAAGCACATGTGATTTTTTTCAGATTCTTTGAAGCATTTTTTAAGGTCGCGCTGTGTAGGTTTATTTATTATGGACTTTTAACGGATATTTTTTATTCGTTCTGGTAGCAGAACATGTGACACAAACTTCTTTGATGTTAAAAAAAAATTAATCGCAATAGTCTCGCCAGAAATAAATAAACAATTTTTTCTTTGTACACGGGCTCCTGAATGGGATTCCCATGAATTTCTGGAATTCAATGTTTGTTGATAATCTTGTAAATGAGTGTGCCCACACTGTCATCAATTTTTAGTTCGTTCCACGGTAATTCAATTAATCTGTTGTTCATCTCATCAATATAACTCCGTGTTTAGAGTATTGTCATCTCGTGTTTTCGGCGCCAAATTGAAAATTAAAACTAAATTTGAAATATTGAGTCGCAGCTTCGTTTCATTCATGAACATTACTGCACTAGAATTTGTTACATGATTTTCTCCATTTTGTTTCCTTTGATTTAGTATCGTTACGGGTGTACTCTTGAGAATACAGTTTTTGCAGTTGTTTTTAGTTGGCAAGTGTTTACAAGATAAGATTGAATTCTCAGACTTCTGGTCAGAGTATCTCGTCTCATTGCGTCAGGGATTTATTTACCGTTTACCTAGGGGTATTACTCAACCTTCAATTCTATGACTCACAGTTCGTGTCGTTACCCTCGTTTTTCTCGCCGGAATACTGCGGAAACGGGGGTCGTACTGCGGACTACTGTCGAATCGTGCGGCGCTGTTGTGCATTATCAATTATTCATATCTGGGAAATTGATGTCGCCACATTAAATGTGAAATCATCGCAAATAAAGTAATTTTCGTAGATATGATTCAGCCAATTTGGTAATTATCGTTAGAATGAATGGATGTAGGTGAAAATGTTGCAAGACATTTTTTGTTGGAAATTTTCTCCTCTACAAAAAATTCTCTATGACATTTCCTCGTAAACTAACTCCTTCTCGAGACAAATGAAAGATGAAAAAAATGGTCACCCACACCTCCTGAAATTTCACTGAATCATTTAAAACGAGTATTAAAAATAATCCTCTCGCATTCCGCAAATCCATAATCTCCATCTGCCCGACTATACCCACCGCATAGAGCTACTCCTTCGCAATCCGTCCAGAATTTCATCGAGTTTCTTTTTATTCGCACCGTTGAGTCATCGACTTTTAAATAAAATTCAATGTCGTCGCTTGGTGTCCACAGGGCGTGTCCAATGACAATTCCCCCAAAACAATCCCACTGTAATCACCATGAATTAACGATTGGCATTGATAATAAATTTTAATTACTTCTGGTTCTGTCTTCAATTGACTGGAATTCAGTAGCGAATTCAGTAGCGACGAGCAAATGTGGAATGAATTTGCGATATTCGGTGTTTTGAGGACGTTGGAGATTAATTTTCACAGGGAGAATCTAACGAGCCGAAAGTAGAGAACCAGTGGGTTCTAATCAGGTGGTTTTGTAGGCTACACCAGTCACTGTGGTCCGTTCACTTCCGCCTGGATACAACGGAATCTTTTAATATTCAGCGCATATTTAAGACATGGCGATATTTTTTGCACTGAATTAATTTCGTTCAATAAAAAAAAATTTTTTTTTTCATTATTTCATTATTTTTTTTAATGAGGAAAACATTAATATTCATCAATTTCAATTGGATAAAAAAAATTACAGTAAAAAGCTGATGATTTTGGGGCACATGAAAAATATTTCATGGCTTTATCGTTTTTTAAAATTGAATAAAACAAGTATTGATCATTTCAACTGATTTTCAGTTCACAATTTTAATTTTTTTCCATGAAATAAAAATTATGTTTCAATGATTTCATGATATCAACAATTTAATTAATGCGGAAAATGGTCGCGTGTCTGGAGATAAGGGGCAGGATCAAGTGATTACTATCATGACAGATAAATGCATATCCGTGCCTGACAAACGTCCAGTGGTGATTAATTACTCAGTTATTCATTTAAAACAGTCAAGATGACTGAACATGGATGATGATTCAATATTTTCCTTGTAAAATCATTAATTCTCAAGATGATCACGTAATTGAGAGGATATGCGCACTTTTTTCGACGAAATTTTGTTTGTTTGTTAATTATTCAATTATTTTCGTAATTGTTAATGGATTGGCAACGAGATGTCAAGACTTTTCTGGTGAAAATTTCGTCTTCGACAAAAAAGCTGTCTGTGAATTTGTCGATAAACCCTGTTTTTCGAGATTTTTTATGTATTTGAGAGAAAAAATGGGGTGATTTTAATTTTTTTGTTGAATTGTGACTCAACGTTAATTATTTACTCCCTTCTACGCAACATTCGATGTGTTAGGGCACCTCTACGGTGTCTGGTGCGCGTCGTATTATATCGATCTGCCACCGAGACACCCCATACACCAGGATACCACCTCTCCGCCCCTGTTTTCTTCCCCTTTTACAAGGGAAATAAAAATGAGGCGAAGTCCACGTGATGCTATAAACTAGGGGATGAACTGAATAAAATGTCCAAGGTCTTCACCTGGTGCTCCGAACCTCGATATCATCATCTTCTACTAATTTTAGTTCAAATCTACTTGTGAAAGCAATTTCTCAAATTTTTTCTTTTTTCTTGTGTACAAATTTTATTTTGAATTTCTTCGAGGGAGTTGAGGGAACTGTCAGATCGTTATCTGTATTTATCTGACTTATCTCGAGATTTCAGGAAAATTTTTAGGGGTTTTTATTGAGCTTTTTATCTTGTGGATGAGTTATTTTTATTTCTAAGGGATTTTTATTTTTAGATTTGGTATTTCACAGTCGAGAAGCTCCTGAAATCTTATTTTGTACGTAAAATGAACTGGAATATTCAAATATTCTCTACACATTTGAACCTCTCTACTTATTCAAATAAAATTGATGAATTAAATTCATAAAATAGTATAAATCAATTCCACACGGGTTCTTTCGTAAATATCTCCAAATCTAAAGAAGATATTAAAATATTCATCTGAACCATTTTTGTAGCTCTGGATTTTCTCTACAAAAAAGTATTTCACAAAAATTCCGTTATCTCCCTTGAATTTCCAGATATTTCTAAAAAAACTAAACCAATTAAATTATAATTCGCAGAAAAAATGCTGTCACTTTCCTCCTCATCCTGGAATTGCAAAAAAAATCTTATTCAAATCATGTAGATTGAAATAACTATTCTACCTTCATGATTAAAAATCCAAATGAATAATTAAAAAAAAACAAATCTTTTAATCGAAATATTCCACTTGAGAATGAAAATTCCATCGAAAAATTCAGTTCTATTTCATTCATTCAATTTTCTTTTTGCAACAGCAGATTCATAAATTTCTGTATTATCGACAGCTAACGACGAGTCTATTCTCTCCTATCGCGGGTGGATAAACTCCCCCTCTGTTTTTCCATCCACAAAAAAAAATAGCGAAGTGAAACGACAGAACAAAAAGCTCTGCACGAACTATAAAAAGCTATTCCATAAGATAATGAGCGTTGGATATTGACATTTGCAACCCCCGGTATTAAACGACCCCCTGTCGCCGGATGGGCTTCACACAAAAACTAGAGTGCTTCACAGGTGTGCGCTTGCGTGGGCGCCAGAGTGTCTGTGAACCCGGCTCCTTTGTCCGTCTAAACTTTGCTTATTGCACATATGAGCGGAATTATTTCCACTTTACCCACTTTCTTTCCTTTTTTCCCCTGAATATGTTGCACGTTGTGCTAGTTACTGCGAGACCGTGGAACATGTAATTTCAATCAATCGAAGCAGATTGCGTAATCGAGTCATGAAATGAAGCAGATTTCATCATTTTGAAAAAAAAAAACAAATAATTTTCTAATTCCTATACAGCACCTTTTACATAAAAAAAAACTTTGTTTTATTCGTTCCTCGTAAGGAATCGTTTGTTCGTCCTGAAAACACTGCCATCATCTTGAATAATTATTGATGATTTATGAAGATGATTTTCATTGACTTGGAGATCGGGAATATTGCGGGGATAATTTCCGTTAATTATTTTTTCAGTTCATCAAATTGTTGAAGTTAATTTTTTAAAGCTGCGTAAAATTAATATAAATTTGATGGTTTGTGTGGCGTAGTTGAGCCTGACATTCGCAATGCGCTGGAACATGCAAGTGCGTCTCAAGAGTGTTGATGAATCACGGAAAGCCGCGATACAAATGGTTCTGAAGGAAACAGAAGTTCCGACTTTCTTTCCCCGCTAGATTTCCCTTTTGTGCACTGTCGGTGATGTTTGCCTATCAGTCATCATTGATATTTGATATTTGCCCATTTTAAAATCAAGAGAGACAAAATTCATAAAAAAAAACATTGGGGGAATGATATTTTAGCCAATAAAAAGCTCATTAAAAATTATTGGACAATTTTTATAATTTTTTCATTTTGTGGTGAAATTGCAAAATGGGAGATGTCTCTCATTAAATAAGAATCGAAATCCCATAGCTCCGAATCAACAAAAACAAACCCTACGTCGCCACATGCACGAAAAGCCCATTTAAAATCGAGCCCCGCCGACATTCGCCGAGGCCCCCCGAGGCCGGCCATGCGCGGACACTCCGTAGCCCCTAGACCAGCGGAATCGATAACACTCCTCAGTCCTGACGTTGACGTGAGTCAGTAGCGATTGAAGTTATTTCCATTTCGTCGTGGGGGAAAGAAATCGCGAAAAATTACCAAAACTAATTAATCCACCCGTCCCCGATAATTTCACCTCCAAAGTGGTTGAGAGGTGCTGGTAACGCCCCTGTCACCTTGACAGCAGCCACTTGACAGCCCCAGAGGCCCTGACACGGCCCCGTATCGACGCAGTAACCGGAAAATTCGATTTTTCCACTGCATTCGATTTTCTCCCGAGAAATAAAACGACGAAAAAAATTGTTTTCACGTGCAATCTCACAGAGTGCGGATTTTTATACGTTTTTTTAAAAGAATACAGTGTTTATTATCGAGGGAGACACTAGATCGAGGGATTTTAAACGAGTTACAATGGATTCAGACGCATCGTGTCCAATTCCAAAGAGAGATAATGATGGAGATGTTTGCAAGGGCAAGAGCAAGACCACCGGATGCTTTTGGAATATTCTAGATCCCCGTAAGAATTTTTACTTTCAATTCTTCATGAATTTTTTTTTCTCCAAATTTTTTCCTTTCCTTTCGTTCGTCATTCACACTCTCGCCCGTTGATTTTGTTCGCGTCTCTCGATCCTCTTACCTGTGGACTCTGACGTCATCGCTCGAGGGTTTCGCGTCCAGTCGTTGTTTACATGGGCCAGCCGAGGGGTTTGACGTAGGTCGGAGGAGAGATTTATTAGGGGTCCCTTGGGATTCCAGGGACTGCGATGGGGCCTTCACCGCTGGGTGATACTAGGGCTCGGCTGAGATTACCGGTGATAAGGATGGTTATGTAATGAGAATGATCGATATGAAAAAAAGGGGACTTTGCCAGCGAGACAATGGGCTTTATCTGGGGGATAAAGTACGAACGAAAAAATTTCACCGAAACACCTGGCGGTTTCAGGATTTTTCAAGAATTGAGAATTTTATTAATTTAATTTTTTCAATTAATTTTGGAAAATCATTTTCCAATGAAAATTAATAAAATTAATAAAACGAAGAGGATGAGATCATTTTACGAAGTGGTAAAAGGAGATGAGTGCATTTAAAAAAAAAAATTTGATGAACAATGAAATATTAATTTTGAAATGGTCATAATAATATTACGAATTTCGAAAAAAATTCACTCGTCTCCTTTTACCACTTCGCTACTGAAAAATGCGAGGGGCTGGTCACTTAGGAAATCACTCTATTGAAATGAATGGGGCAAAATGGAGTTTTTGTTTGTCTTCAGTAGAAAGTCAGATGGTTTTGAGGGTCAAACGACCCTCAAGGACGTTTGGAGTTGACGGTCCAATCTCTTTAACCCATTGGACCCACAACTCCAGCAGTCCTAAAGGGTCATTCGACCCCCAAATCCACTTGACCCTCAACCGAAGAAAAAACTCCTAAATTCTCCTAAATAGTAATTCAGTCGTTTTCAACCAATTGTAAAATCTCCCTCCACTCAAGCCGTTAATCAACTAATTAATGGACATTGCAGCGTTATGACTTGAATTATCAAGAGTTCTTCAACCTCATCCCACGAAAATAGCCCCCACAAAACACCATTCATTCTGAGTATTGATAAAGTGAGAGAGTCGAGAGCGGCCGGGATCGATAGACCCATAAATAATAAATGCAGGATTGTTCACCCTGGAATAGAGAATAGAATGTGAGACAGTGGGTCTCTCAGGCATCGAGGAGACCTTCTGATTATGATGATAAATCTCAGTGTCGTTTCATTGGAGTACAACCTGGGGATAATGCGGTGTTGCTGCGTTTATTACACCACTGAACGTGATTCAGAGTTGTAAATAGGCAGATGCTCTATGCAATCCCTCCTGTTACTCATTAATTCCCATTACAGGCATATTCTATGCATTAACAGTCATAATAGAACGCTTTGAATTTTTGCTTTTGATTTTCTAGTGGGGTAACGTCATTCGGAAGACGAATTTAATTTTTTTCCATTTTCTCACATTTTCATTCTATTCATTCTATTTTTTATATTCATCTTCACTAATCTATCCTCCTTGTTTTGTTAAGCTGCACGCACTATCAACTAAGTCTAATGATAATTCTGCACATAAAACAATTAACATAATTTGTGGAAAAGAAATGATGATTAATTCATTGAGTGCTGATCAATGAATTAATGAAGGGAGAAGAGAAAAAACGTGTGTTCAGAGAGTTTTGTCAATATCTCGTTAATTAATGGGTTTAGGAGAACTTTAGCGGAGAACTTTTTTGTAGCCCTTGAAAGTCTCTACAAAAAAGTTCCATGACATTTTTCTCTATATCCAACGGTCTCTGGGATTTTTGCGAAGTAAGATCGCACGTTGAAACAGGATAAATGAGAGATGAACGTTTCTATCGCTTAATTACACCTTTCACATCTACATTAAAATTTCAAACTGCTGGTGATGGAATGTAGAATTAACCTCTGATTGTTGTTTTACAGACGCATGGTTTAACCCAGAAAGACTGAATCCGAAAGGTAAGAATAATTATTCAATAGTTCATTGAGAATGAAAAACCGAAGAAATGCGAGAGCAAATTTTGGATCGATTTCATTGGTTTTTCGTTCCCACTGTGTCGCCGTTTGGAATTCAAATTTATGTAGATACATTTATACACTAGAGCTTGATAAGCGGCTTGGGAAATGCTGAAATTCTCTTCCTTTGTGTCTGCTATTCTCCAACACAATTTTCACTTTCAATGAAATTCGGAAAGCAAAATAATTTCAACTGCAGTAGACGAAGGCGAAGACACAACACCTATTTAAAATCGAAAAATCAGTCTGAGAAATCAAGTCAGAAAACCTAAAAACCCAAGGCAACCATAGAAAGTCCCGAACTTTTATTCACTAGTGAAGGGACAAACCAAAAAAACTGAAATTGCCTCCAGTTTTCGCTGAATATCCAGGGTTGGGCGTGTAAATTACGTCGACGGGTTCTTCTAAATTTTTTACATTACTTCGAAAAGCCTGCAATTTCCGATTACTAGAATGTTTCATTTTATTCCGACTGGCGAAGACGCAGTATTGGACACAAATATCATAAAAATAGCATATTATGTTCCGAGTACAGATAAACCGCGAAATTTAACTTCACTTCGCTCGGTTAGACCGCGGATCTCAGTACTTGGGGGGTAAAATATTATTTTATGTCCCTAGGACTGTAAAACCGTGATTCTAAAATATAAAACATCGATTCCCTCGGTTAAGTCGCGGTTTCCGGGCGCAATGTCATGTAAAAAACTGCGGTTATCGATAGATGCCCAACCCTGCTGAATATCTGCCAATCTACTGGAGATATAAAAATTCACATTCAGACCTTTTTTGTGGAGCAGATCCACAGCTACAAAAAATCTCTTCACAAAAAATCCGCTATCTCCTCCAGATTTCTAGAAATTTCCAAAAAACTTGAATGAAGTTGAAAAAACAGTAAAGACAAAACATATCAACGAACTCTTGTTCAATGGTTGATATCTCGAGATCGGCTGAGTGAATCTGAACGATTTTTTTTCAATTCAAAGATATTTTTTCACGCTAAAAAATGAGTCGTGACTCGTCGGAATTGCATCGTCCAGTCGTGACATATCAGTGATTTTTTGAGGTCCAGTTCACCTCGTCTATTCTCTATTCACATAGTTTAAGACTACGACATCTACAACTACATCATCGTGCTTCTGTCGGTATCACCTAAATATAAACCGCTCAGAGTCAGCCAGGTTGGCTGGTTGCCTGCCAAAGTCTCTGCGTTGCTTGGGATTTTACCTTCCTCACTCAGTCCAAGAACACTGGTGCATTACCTCTTGTTCGAGGTGACGAGGGCGGAGAAATTAGTGCCGGGTTCATGTGTGAGATAATGATAATCATCAAGAGCGTAAAAAAATTAATAAACCAGAGCTAAAATATCGATTCCAACATTTAATCAATCAAAGGGCTAAATAAATTCTCCTCAATCCGGATTTGAATTGTCTTGTGGCTCACGAAGAAGTGGAGTTAATTCAAAGATCATTATTCTCTGAAGTAAAATTAAGATGAATGTGCTGGAGATTTTGGAGCAGATAAGGGGGACCAAGTGGACGAAAGAGGAGTGTAAGTAAAGCATAAGGGAGGGGAATTAAAAATTCATGGAGTAGTTTGGAATTTCGGGAGATTTCCCTCGATGACGAATGGGATTTTTTTCTTTATTTGCTGAAGTAATATCGAGCCAAATAGAGAACCTGGCGTTAAACTCAAGTGGGTCAATCTGGTTTTGTGTCTCTCATTCTGAAATAAAAATAATCCACTTGTGGGTAATTTATCGATGGCTCAGTTCAAAGGTTTATTATTATCAATAATGACGAGTGATTATTGAGGACAGACGGATGGATTTTTAGTAATTTTTTTTTGGGGGGGGGGGGTTCTTTGTCAATTGGGAATTTTATTCGTGATTGTCGTTTGGACAAAAATCTTGACGTTTATTTTTGGGGGCCAAAATTCCGCTCAAATGATTACGTAAAGACTCTTTCGTCTTTATTCATCTTTTTGTCGAGATTTCTCCACTGGGGTTTTTTGGACGAAAATAAATCATCGAGTTTGGGGTATTTGTTGCTAATGGGGGTGGGGAAATTAGTGGAAATATTTATTTTCTGAATTTAATCTTGTTTTTTAGGCTAAATCGTTAATTTTACGTTGTTAATTATTCAATTATCTTGATAATTAATGGATGTAGAAGAAAATCTCAGAGGAAATTTTCGTAGAGAATTTTCTCAACTACAAAAAAGATCTTGAGACATTTTACTCTAAAATCCCTCAATTCCATCGGCCAGATAATTGAACAATGAGAAAGGTGGAACAAATTAAGGTGTTCTGAAATTCAACGGTGACCTTGGCAATGACGTTTTGCTACCGTAATTAGTGATTATTAGCGCAGAACCGTTAGGTGTGGTGTTGACAGATTGACCTTGGGGTTTAATCCAATGTTAGAGACCGGATTCAATCATTATTTTAAAAATAATCGCCTGTCTATTGTCAAAATTGATTTCATATCGTAATGTAATGAAATTAAACATCGCCATCAGCCCGATGATACATCCATTTGCTTATTTCTTTTCGTTTGATAATTATGGACGTCACTCTGGAGAAAAAACAGTCTCCGACGATTTAAGGGGAGATTACTGTAGTCGTAAAAGTCGTGGCATTTCTAATGCATTGAAGATCGATTATATATGTCTAAAAACGAATAATTAGTGCAAAAAAATCAATTGTTTATTGTTCGTTTGCTCCGCAGACGTTTGAAATTTTAAAAATGATTCTGGCCTCCAATTTTTGAGCGACAGAGAGAAATATTCAACAAAAATTCCGTATCTTTTCCGATGTATGAAAAATCTCATTCCAATAGCCCCCGACTTTTAAAACTCACAGTAATCTCCCCTTAATTTAATTCAGAGTTGACATAAATAGAATGCGGAAGGATTCCATCCACTCCTCCATCGAACGAAATAGAATCGAAGTCTTCGATTAACTTAATGACGTGTGACGCCGGTGCAAATTCACCTGTCCTTTTACTAAATCCATCGAGCGAGTCTGACTCGTACGCTAGTGACTACTGGCGCAGCGTCTAATATACTAGTAAAAAAAAATTGGAATTGGGAAAAAAAATTGCCTTAACGCACCGGAGTTGGGTATCACGTGACCAAATGCGTTGGTCGTCGTGGAAGCGCGCGTGGCGCCAACTTGCCGGTTCCATCCCCACTCTACTCCAATATTACTCATGTGGTTAGAAAAATTCCAAAGTTGATAGAAAATCGAAAAAATTTTCGATTTAAACATTTGGATAAAATCGTTTTTACTTGATGAAGAGGATTTTTTTTGGTTTGAAACTGATGAAAAATATTTTTTCTAGTAAATTGTGATGGTTTTAATTCACAAAAATATTTATATAATTCAGTTTAATAATTGAAGGAATGTATTGATTGAAAAATTAAATTACAAGGTGAATGCGAGAATTTTCGCGATTTTTGAAAACAAAAATCGGTGAATAAAATGATCTTTTTTATTATTCACTTTTAAGTGTTTTTAATTAATGAAAAATCATCAAATTGAACTCTGAAAAATTTTACAAGTCGATTCCGAATATTTTTTATTCACTGCGAGTATTTTTCATTCACAAACCTAAAAAAATTGAATAATTACCCAAGAAAAATTTATTTAGGTCCAAAAGGTTTCATTTTCCCCCGAAAAATCCCCAAATAAATGAATAAATTTCGCAGTAAATTTGAATTTCCCGAAATAGTTCATTCAACTTCAATTCCCCGAAATAATGGTTAATTAAATATTGAAAAAAACTCTCTTGAAACGTAAAAAAAATGTTAAAAAGTAGGCAGACGCCATCTACGCAGTAGCCTCCACCTTTCTCAAATCTCTCTTCATCTCTCCTCCACTCCACATTTACCGTTTCTCCTCCCTGCACTGTGTTCTTTTTCGTGTCACTCTCTCTCTCTCTCTCCCTCTCCCTCTCTCTCTGTCTCTCCCATTAACAAAACCTACTTGTCTTCTCCCTCCCTCCCATTTAGTAGTCTGCACACATTCACCCGACGAAACCCAAGTCGTGCTGTTCCGTTCTGCCCTGTTCTCTCGGTTCTGTTCTGTCGAGTGAGACTAGTCTCCCAACGTGAGTCGATTTGCACCGTCGACGTCTCCTCAATTTTTTGTTGGTTTTTTATTTATTTTTTGTGAGATGGTGCGAAAGGATAAACCCAGGAGGGGCTTCGACGAGGAGCTTCCTGAGCTGGGTCGTGGTAAGTTTCTTCGAGTGGGGTAGATCCACGGAAAATTAGCCCTCAATCCTAATAGTGAAACTTTTTTTTTCATTTTTTCGAGATTTTTTTGAAGATTTTTAGGAGAAAATGCAGTGAAATTCCATTTTTTATGGTAAAAATTACGTTTTTCTGTGATATTTCTGCTGGAAAGTGAAAATTTTTGCTAGACTCAGAGCATTTTTTACTAGGATTTCAATGAAAATTTGTTGTTATGGAATTTAAAAAAAATTTTGAATCATTTTTAACAGATTTATCGCAAGATTTTGTCTGAGAGTTGATCGCTGGGTCCTCGGAATTTGGGATTCAACATATGGTGGGGTTGCAATTCCACGTGGGAACGGGTCATGCAGATGTGGAGGTGGTGATGTTGATGGGATTGTTCGGGGTGAAGGGCTTTTCGAATTGAAATTGTGGACTTTTTAATTTCGAGAGATTGTAATTGGAGATGAGCGAAGAGACGTGGTTATTTATGGAGATCAATGGTGGTTTGAGGACTTGCAGAAGTGTTTGCTGTGTTCTTAGGTGTGATAAATCAGGGGTTATTGGGGTGATTGATTCGAGAGTTGATGGATTCGGAGCTGAAGTGAAAAAACTTGAAATTTTCATTCAACAATTGACAAAATGAAAAAAATCCACTCGCTCTTTCCTATTCTTTATTTTGCTTTGCTACTTAATTTCTATATTGATGATTAATTAATAAAAAGTCTGTTCAAACAATTTTATTCACTCATTTTATTTTCATTCTAGTTAGAAACTAATTTTTTAGATGTGAAATTGATGATTTCTGGGTTTTTTATTTATTTTTTCTTAATCACTTATTGATATAAATTTCGTTTGAAACAATTTTATTCACAAATTACTCACTGAAAGTTTCATTTTTTAATATTATTCTTTGAAAAGGCAAATTTTATTCCCTTTATTCCAATTACACAATTGTTTTGTGATGGGAAATTGATGAGTTATGGGTTTTTAACGATTTTGAAACTATTAATTAGTCAAAAGTAAACAAGGTCGTCGATCGTATTTCATGTTCGACAAATAAGGATGTATAAAATGTCAGTACCTTGCCGATGGGTGACGCTCCACAAGTGCCACTGGTGACCGTGATCCGTGACGTTGACTCCAATTCTCAGTGTTGTAACTCAGTTATAAAATTTTTTTTTTTTCGCAATTAAAACCTTGAACTTGGTTTAGACACGTAATGGAGAGTGCTAAACTCCCGAGACCTTCCACTATTCGAAGGGAGAGGCTTAGGACGGGTTTTGTTTCTGATTTATGTAAGGGGTTTCATCAATCTGGTGGTGAAAATCGATATCTGTGTGATAATTATTTGAGGGAATTGAATTGCAGGTGAAATTAAATATGATATGTGCTGAGGTGGAACGAAATGAGAAGAATAATTCCGAAAAACTCGAGATTTCATGGAAAATGGGCGGTTTTTTATTTCGTGAGGGGCTTTAGGGGAAAAATTCAATGAACGTTTTTGAAGAGAATTTCACGAGCTGCAAAAATGTCCAACAACTTTTATTTACCAAAAACTAATAATTTTTTCGATACTTTGATAATAAAAAAGATGTTTCTTCTGAAAATAAAATTTATATTTTGGATGGATCTTCTAATTGTTGAATTATCTCGGAAACGAGTGAGCTTGGAGAAAAATAGGATAGGACATTTTTGGTGGAGAATTTCATAAGCTACAAAAAAGTTCGTGTCACGTTTTCCCCTAAACCCTGTCCTTCCCAGGATATTAGCAAAAAACGCCGGACATTTCTATTGTTTTTTTGTTTTCTCCCTTTTTCTGCGAATTTCCCTCTGGAATTGATGAGAAATAAATTCCCTGAGATGATAATTAACCCGAAACCTAATACTTCCTAATTTTTATGTGCAGTGGCAGCATTAATATACTGGCGTCAGCCAGAAAAAACAGGAGCTGTATTTGGCGCAATACTGGGTGTCCTTCTGTCGCTGGCCTACTTCAGTCTGATCAGCGTATTCTCTTATGTAGCCCTATTGACCCTCACGGGAACCCTGGGTTTCCGCATCTACAAGACCATAATGCAGGCCGTCCAGAAAACATCGGACGGACATCCATTCAAGTGAGTCCCCACCGCGCCTACCTGTTTTCCAGAATTTACAGGCCCTTAAGCCCGTAAATTCCGGATTTTTTTCACTCATAATTTATGATATTGCATTGACAGAGACATTCTGGAGGTAGACCTGACTCTACCCGCTGAAAAGGTACACGAAGTTGCTGATGTATTCGTTGCACATGCCAATGCTGCAGTCTCTGAACTACGCAGACTTTTCCTCATTGAGGATTTCATTGATTCACTGAAATTCGGAGTTGGACTCTGGTGCTTGACTTATGTTGGATCCTGGTTTAATGGAATGACACTTATCATTATTGGTATGTTAATAATGGATAGTTGAGTTGAATAAATATTTATTGATTAATTGGAATTTTGAGGTCATGAAACATGAGAAATTCAATAGTAATTGAAAATTTGTAATCAGAGGAATTATTTCTGTTTGAAATAATTTCTAGTTTCAATTGTATTGCACTTGATTATTTGAAATGAATAGAGAAATATCGATTATTCATGTCATTTCAGTGTTTATGAACACGAATGAATACTATTTATGCAGAGAACATAAGCAACTTAGAACAATTTATAATGATTTATTGTGGATAAATAAGTGTGGATTTAGATTTTTTAATATTTTATTCCAGGAGTGGTAGCGCTCTTCACACTTCCCAAAGTCTACGAGACGAACAAAGCGCAGATTGACCAGAATCTTGCATTAGTGCAGGGCAAGATCAACGAACTCACTGCTAAGTAAGAAAATTAATGAATTAATCGAGAATTTCTAATTCAGTGTGAATTCATATATCTCAATTATGAGTGATTTTAGAGAAAAATTTGACAAGGAATTTTTCGTAGAGAATTAAATTTCCTACAAAAATGTTGTATGACATTTTCCTCTGAAGCCACTGGTTATCGAGGTAATTCGACATTTAACAAGAGATAGTATTTGAAAAAAGATTTTTTTTTCACACTTTCAGTGCCATTTTATTGCTGTTAATTATCCAATTATTTCGATAATGACTGAATTAAAAATGTCGGAGATATTTTTTAAGAAATATAATTCTCCACAAAAAAATACGCGCTTTTCGTTATTTTTTCCAAATTCAAAGTTTGTTGGTCCCTAATCATCTTCATAATGAATAAATTTAAGCAAAGGACTAATCTGGACTAATCTGGTTCACTAAAAAAATTATCAATAATAATCTCAATACTAAAATTCAATTATTGTTATTCCCCAGGGTTAAAGCAGCAATTCCCCTCGGCAAGAAGGCAGAGCCTACCAAGGAGGAGTAAAACCCATCCTCAAAGAGCAAAAAAATGAATAAAAATAGAACAAAAAGAGCAATGATAATGCAAATGATGAAGACGTGAGAAATCTCCTGCGTCGTGGGTTCTCTTTTTTTACAATTGATTGACACCACAAATTTCCATGAGACATGTGTCATAATGAAATCAGAATCGTCAGTGCGAGGTGCTTTTTCACCCACCTCAGCACACACAACAAAAAAAAACGAAATTGTATTACGAGAAAGGAGCCCACCCCATAGCAAACCTCTCATCGTGTGAACATAATAAATAAAAACAAAACATCTAAAATAAACGAGAAAGAATTTTGAATTAAGAAGTTTCTAGATACTAATTAATTAATCGTCCCGACGTTGAATCATTTCGCCCTGTGGAAGTGCAATAACGTCGCTTCACTCTTCACCTTTTGTCGTAAAAAAAGAAACATAAAAAGGAGAAAAAATTGAAATCATGATTTTATTGCAATACCCCTTCGATACCCATTTCTCCCCTTACTCCATTAAAAAAGCATTAGTAATTTTAGAGTATGAAGTGGAGGAACTTTTCCTCTACTGAGGAAAAGTCAGTAATGGAGTGATGAATGAAATATTTTTTATTTTTATTTTATAACTTTATTTTCTGTAATAAATGCAAAATTAACAAAATAAGAGGAAAATTTTTGTTTTTTTAATTTTAATTAGTTTTTATCTCAATTACAAGTGGTTTTAACGAAAAATTTCATAAGATCTTTTTTTTACAGAGAATTAAATTTTCTAAAAAAAAAATCTTATGGCATTTTTCTCTAAAACCACTTGGCATCGAGATAAGTTGACATTTAACAAGAGATGTTGTTAACAAACCGTTTTTCTACACTTTCAGTGCAATTTTTTTGTTTGAAAAAATTCAAATTCAATTCCGTTCTCTCTTATCACTTCATTACTGCAATCATAATGATAAAATGTTGGATAAGAATTAAAAGTAGTCACCCAGCTCTGCATTATCACCCCGTTTTCACCGAGTTTTGAAAAAAAATCCAATGAACAGAGAAAAAAAAATTGTAATCAGATGTCACGTTTGTTTTTTTTCTATAAAATTAATTAATAATTAATTAAAAGCTGAAGTAAGCTCTACCAATTATTGTTGTGAGTGTACGCATTGAGGAGGAACTTGAAAGTTTAATTAATTATCTTGAGTAATTAAGAGAAAGAGTGAGGCTTTTGGGCATGTGTGTTAAGGCTTTCAGATGGCGATGATAAGCTTGAGATATTATTTCTTTCTTACTATTGTTAGGATTTTTCAATAAATACAGGATTATCTGATTAAACGTAACAGCATCCCTTCGTGTTTTCTGTTGATGAATATAAATAATTATTATGATGAAAATAATGAATATTACGAAACAATATTGCAACAAGAACATGTGAAGTAATTAAAAAAAATATCACAACTGTCATTCTCTTACTGTAATTACGCATACATACAAAGGAATAATGATAATTAATTTATAATTAATTAATGTAGGGTATGAGGACGGAGATTCAGAGGATCATTGACAAATTTTTTGATGAATTTGAGATAATTCAATGTCAGATTGTGCTGATGGATAATTAACGAATATAATTATTATTATCTCGATGAAAATAAATTCTATCTAAACTTGTTTTTATGGGGAGAATTGTGAGACGTAAAAATTATATAAAGATATGAAATTGTAATAATATTGATATGCGTAATGCTTCTTGACGTTTTTCATTATTGCATCGGCATTCGCACGATTTTATTTATAAATAAATGATATTAAATACCACATGATTATCAGAGATTATTATACAACCACTCTTTAAAAAGATAATTGTCCATTCAATTAAATGAAGAATGAAAAAAATCAAAAAAATAATTTTCATCCTTGTTAATAACCAAATTATCACTCCCTATGAAGATGATTCCACATTTGCGAATTTTTTCCTCTTCGAAACCCTTTTCAACCGACGAAAAATGGCATTTCAAAATTCCCCCCATAATTTCTCCGCATATGCGCACTCCGCACCTCAGGCAGTTCCGGTTGGCGCCAAATCGTCGCCATTGTGCGGGTTATCCCTCTCAGTTTGCGCCAAAAACCAGTCCGAAACGGTTCTCTCTACGTCTTACTTAATTCGCTGTCTTTTTTTGTCCTTAACAGTCCTAAATAATATTTTTAAAAATGGTCGGGAGAGTCGGAAAAGGAAGGATGTTCGTCCTGAAACGAGGTACGTACTCCAAATCCCTTTAAACTGCTTCCAAATAATTACACCCACGAGCATGAGCTGATTTCGTACCTTCCCACACGTACGAAAAAATCCTGTGAAGAATTGGAACATTTTCTATAGGATTTATTATAAAATTCCCTATCAGGTTTTCCCTACTGGATTTCCTAGAATATCTCATAGATTTCTTAAAAGTCATCTAATAAGATGTTCAACAGGATTTCCTGTGAACCCTCATTGTGGGCCTTGTGTTCCGAAATTTAATAGAACAGTAAAATAGCGCTGAAATTTCCCCAGACGGACGTAAAGAGGAGGTCCACTACGACAAGATCACCTCCAGAATCCAAAAGCTATGTTACAACCTGGACATGGACTACGTGGACCCCCCAGCGATCACCCTGAAGGTGGTGAGTGGCCTCTACGCAGGTGTAACCACAGTAGAGCTGGACAATCTGGCAGCAGAGACAGCAGCCACCTTAACAACAGTCCACCCAGACTACGCCCTCCTGGCAGCAAGAATAGCAGTGTCAAATCTCCACAAGGAGACAAAGAAGAGTTTCAGCGAGGTGATGAACGACCTGCACAACGCCACCGACCCCATAACAAAGGAGCACACCCCAATAATCAGCAAACACCACAACGAAATAATCCAGAAGCACGCAGAGAGACTGGACTCAGCGATAATTTACAACCGAGACTTCAGCTACAATTACTTTGGCTTCAAAACCCTGGAGCGCAGTTATCTGCTGAAAATCAATGGTAAAGTCGTTGAGAGGCCTGCCCACATGCTGATGAGAGTGGCAGTTGGAATACACGAGGAGGACATCGACAGAGTCATTGAGACGTACAATTATCTGTCCGAGAGATACTTCACACATGCCTCACCATCGCTCTTCTCAGCCTGCACTGGTAGACAACAGATGTCGAGCTGTTTTCTGCTGACACTGACTGAGGACAGTATCGAGGGCATCTACGACACCCTCAAGAGGTGTGCACTGATAAGCAAATCAGCTGGTGGCATTGGAGTTAATGTTCACTGCATCAGAGCCAAGGGTACACGAATAGCTGGCACCAATGGCATATCCAATGGGCTTGTGCCCATGCTTCGTGTTTACAATAACACAGCACGTTATGTTGATCAGGGTGGTAACAAACGTCCTGGGGCATTTGCCATCTACCTGGAGCCCTGGCACGCTGACATCTTCGATGTTCTAGATCTAAAGAAGAATACAGGTATTTTTGAAAATAATATTGTAATATTGTTCCATAATTTTCGCCATTTAGCTGAATGTTGCTCTAAACTCGTCGGAATTTTTAAATCCCCAGGAAAAGAGGAATACCGAGCACGTGAGCTGTTCTACGCCCTGTGGATACCCGATTTGTTCATGAAACGTGTCAAGGCAGACGGTCCCTGGAGTTTGATGTGCCCCCACGAGTGTCCAGGCCTCTGTGACACTTGGGGTGAGGAATTCGATAAGCTGTACACAAAGTACGAGGAGGAGGCTCGTTACAAGCGTCAAGTGCCAGCCCGTGAGCTGTGGACAGCAATTCTAATGTCACAAGTTGAGACTGGAACTCCCTACATGCTGTACAAGGATGCCTGCAACAGGAAATCCAATCAGAAGAACCTTGGAACAATAAAATGCAGCAACTTGTGCACCGAGATCGTTGAGTACTCGAGCCCCGATGAAGTTGCTGTCTGCAATTTGGCATCGATAGCAGTCAACATGTTTGTGGATCCAGTGAAGAAGACCTATGACTTCGACAAACTCAAGACAGTCGTCAAAGTTGTCACCAGAAATCTCGACAGGGTCATCGACGTCAATTACTATCCAGTTGAGGAGGCAAGAGTCTCCAACATGAGACACCGTCCCATGGGAATTGGAGTTCAGGGTCTGGCAGATGCATTCCTACTGATGCGTTATCCATTCGACAGTGATGAGGCCCAGAAACTCAACATCCAGATCTTCGAGACCCTCTACTATGGTGCCCTGGAGGCATCCTGTGAACTCGCCCAAGAGAAGGGTACTTACGAGACGTACAAAGGCTCGCCAGTCAGCCAGGGCATCCTCCAGTACGACATGTGGGGTGTCACACCGACAAACCTCTGGGACTGGGCTAAACTCAAGGAGAAAATATCTCAACACGGGGTCAGGAACTCTCTGCTACTGGCACCAATGCCAACAGCATCAACAGCCCAGATCCTGGGTAACAACGAGGCCATCGAGCCCTACACCAGCAACATCTACTCCAGGCGCGTGCTGTCTGGTGAATTCCAGGTCGTCAATCCCCATCTCCTGAAGGACCTCACTGAACGCGATCTCTGGGACGACGACATGAAGAATCTGATAATAGCGAACAATGGGTCGATCCAGAGTATCGAGAAAATACCAGCAGACATCAAGGCACTGTACAGAACAGTCTGGGAGATTCCCCAGAGGATGATCCTGAAAATGGCTGCTGATCGAGGGGCTTTTATCGATCAGTCCCAGTCGACCAATGTTCACATGGCCAGTCCAACCCCTGAGAAGCTCACGTCCATGCATTTCTTCGGTTGGGAAGCTGGATTGAAGACTGGGATGTACTATCTCAGGACGAAGCCAGCTGTCAATGCCATTCAATTCACTGTCGACAAGACGAGGCTCAAGGCGTCCCAGGGGGTCACTCCAGTGGACAAGGCCATCAACAGAACATTCAATCGGTCCATGAACACATCAGTCGTGGACGAGGATCCTGTCCTCGTCTGCTCCAGGGAGAACGGCGACGCCTGCATGGCTTGCAGTGGATAATCAATCAAATATCGATCAATATTTTTTACGACAGTATTTGTAATGAAAATATTCTAGGCAATTTACGTTAATGTTCAATTGAGGCACGAGATGAAATGCTTATTGTCATTCTCATTACTAACTCGGTGATTAATTTTCAATTACATTTTTATTATTAACAAATCGTCCCAGTGGACAGATAATTATTGGAATCCTCGTCAGTTCGTTGAGCAATTGCTCATCATCTTTTGTTTGAAATTAATTAGTTGATTAGTCTGATCCTAATCACTCGCTTGGGCCTGCGCAGAGGGAGCGGAGGGGAGACAAGAAATAATTATTTCTACTGTATCGACTGCTCCGTTCTGTTCTGCTCTCTGCTCCTGTCTCATTCGTGCACTAGGAATTTTTCCCTCATCACACATGAGGAATGAGGGATCGTGTCTGTGTCTGTGAGGAGATGCATACACGAGAGGGTGAGAGTATGTGTGACACGACAGCCATGATAATCCGAAGTCACATATCCGGCTGAGTTTTCCTGGTATTAAAAAAAAAAGATAGCCACCTCGATGGTCAATACATGCATGATTTTAATACATCTCAGATGTGATACGTGTCACTGGAGTTGTTAGTGCTGAGTGGGATTAATCGGGAGTCATTCGACGCCTTTTGGGGTCTTTGAGGTATTTTGATTGTTGCGGGGATCATGGAGTGGCAGAATGTGCCAGCAGTTTAGGAGTTTTCGAGGGAATTCAGGGGCTCTGGTCATTGGGGATTTGGGAGGTGGTGGGTTTCGGTGGTGAGGTGACGGAGAGGAGTTTATGATGCCGTTGGCTAATCAAACGCTCCCTTGGAATCAGCAGAATGTGATTGAAAAGGTGAGGTATTGGGGGTGATTTTGGGGGGTTGGGAGTTGAGGTTGGAGAAGTGGTTTTAGCGAAAAATGTCAAAAGATATTTTTTATAGGCGACTAAATTTTCAGCAAAACATGCCTTCTGATGGTTTCTCCTAAACCCACTCATTACTGAGACAATGCCATAGTTAATGGAATGGAAAAAATATTCGAGCTGAATACCCTTCATTCTCATGATTATTCATTTCTCTCCCTAGGTGTCCCCTGAAATACTGCCTGCTGAGAATCAAGAAACAATGACGGCACCAGGTCCTGGCTTTCCAGATGCCAATTCAAATGGTCATGGAGAGTCACACGAGATCGAAGTCCGTGAAGTTGTACGTGATGGCCATGAAAAAGCTGACCCTAGTCATTTTGAGTTACTCAAAGTCCTGGGTCAGGGCTCATTTGGAAAAGTATTTCTCGTTCGAAAAGTCGTTGGCAGAGACAAGGGCACATTGTACGCAATGAAGGTCCTCAGGAAAGCAACGTTAAAAGTCAGGGATAGAGTTAGAACGAAAATGGAGAGGAATATTCTCGTGGATGTTGAGCATCCATTCATCGTTCGTCTGCACTATGCTTTCCAGACTGAAGGCAAACTCTATCTTATTCTCGACTTTTTGAGGGGAGGGGATTTATTCTCACGTTTATCCAAAGAGGTGATGTTCACCGAAGAAGACGTTAAATTCTACCTAGCTGAACTAGCCCTCGCCCTGGACCACATTCACAACCTGGGGATCATCTACAGAGACCTGAAGCCTGAGAACATTCTGCTGGACTCCAATGGCCACATGTCCCTCACAGACTTCGGCCTGAGCAAACAGCCCCTGGACGACACAAAGACCTACTCCTTCTGTGGAACAGTGGAGTACATGGCCCCAGAAGTGGTAAATCGTCAAGGCCATTCGTTCGCTGCTGACTGGTGGAGTTTTGGAGTCCTCATGTTCGAGATGTTGACAGGAGCCCTTCCCTTCCAAGGGGCAAATCGAAAGGAGACAATGACCCAGATCCTCAAAGCAAAACTAGGAATGCCCTACAACATATCCCCAGAGGCCCAGTCCCTCCTGCGAGTCCTCTTCAAGAGAAATCCAACCAACAGACTGGGATCCAAGGGAGTCGATGAGATCAAGAGTCACCCGTTCTTCGCCTCAATCGACTGGCAGGCGCTCTATCAGAAGAAAGTCAAGCCCCCCTTCAAACCAGCAGTCAGTGAAGAGGACGATGCTTTTTACTTCGACAGTGAATTCACGTGCAAGACACCCAGAGACTCACCAGGGCTGCCACCCAGTGCCACAGCTCATGAATTGTTCCGAGGCTTCAGCTTCATTGCTCCAGGACTGCTGGAGGATCACTCGAAACCACCGGATTTGAGGAGTGTCGAGAGCATCAGCAGTGTCTTCCCGACTTATGTCAATCCAGCACCTATCAGGGAGGAGTATGAATTCAAGGAAGAAATAGGTGAGGGTTCACACATGAAAAAATTCAATACAAAATTCTATTTGTTTTTTGCCCTGATTCTATTGAATATTCAATAAGAAAAAGTCAATAGATTCTGTTTGATTTTTTTTCTTAGATTTTCTCTATTAGAATTATTGGGCCCCAACTTTCCAAGTTTTTTCGTCGGATTTTGTTTTGTCTTGCACTGGAGAATCCGTGTTTTTTCCACAGTTTGCTTTCTGTAGATCTCGTCTTCCCAAAACTGCCGAATCCCGAAAAAAATAAGGATTACGTGAATTAAAAAAATGAAAAAATAATTACACCGAAATTACAGGTAAGGGAAGCTATAGCACAGTGTACCGAGCAGTTCACAAGACGACGAAGCTGGAGTGCGCGATAAAAGTGATCGACAAATGCAAGAGAGACCCAACCGAAGAGATAGAGATTCTGCTGAGGTACGGTAGGCACCCGCACATCGTGACGCTGCGATCGGTCCACGAAGACGAGCGTCGAGTCTACCTCATCCTGGAGCTCCTCAAGGGGGGCGAGCTACTGGACCGGCTCATGGAGAGGAGAAACTTCACCGAGCGAGAGGCCGCCGAGGTGACATTTACGATAGCCAGTGTCGTTAATTACCTGCACGAGAATGGGGTAGTCCACAGGGACCTCAAGCCCTCTAACATTCTGTACTCAAAGCCTGGTGGTGATCCCAGTGGTTTGTGCATCTGCGATCTGGGCTTCGCCAAGCAGTTGAGAGCTGAGAATGGATTACTCATGACGCCCTGTTACACAGCCAATTTTGTGGCACCTGAGGTGCTCAAGAGACAGGGCTACGACGCTGCCTGCGATATCTGGTCCCTCGGGGTTCTACTCTACATCATGCTCGCTGGGTACACACCGTTTCCTAACAGTCCTGGTGACAGTGCCAGTGATATTCTTAATCGCATTGGCCCGGGGTATGTGGATCTGGACACTGGGGTCTGGGGCTGCATCTCGGGGGAGGCGAAGGAACTCGTGAGGAGGATGCTGCATATTGATCCCCACAGGAGGCCTACTGCTGCTGGCGTCTTGAGGAGCACGTGGATCGTCAACAGGGCCAATTTGCCGCAGAAAGTATTACCTGGGGTTGGACGAGATCCTCGTAGTTTAAAGGTTGGTTTTGTGGTGGAAGGGGAACGGGTGGTTTTAGGGGCAGATTAAATGGGACTTGAGAAAACCTAGCGAATTCGCTAGTAAATTCATGCGTGCATTTGACCCTCAACTAAACTCAAGACAAGTTTCCTCATCATTTTCCATTTTCGCCCATTCTCTCTCTCTCTCTCAATAAATTATGAATTATTATTCCAGAATGCAGTTGCTGCAACGTACAAAGCCATGTCCAACAGTCCAGGTCTGCCCCACATCGGTCCCGTAGTGATGTCAGACCTGGCACGTCGTAGAGTCCAGGCAAAGCCCACAGGAGTAACAAAACTCTAATAAAATATCAAATCAATCTCCTGAAATTCTCGTACTCTTAGCCATTCGATCAAATGCATGATTGACATCGACCGACAGTGCATTAGCCCAACAATAACGAGAGTGATCAAGTCGTCCACTGGTGCCAATGTGTAATTAACTCGAGACTATTCATTTGCCAGTATTTAAATTATCAGTCTCAGTTCGATTAATCAATTAAATATATACATTCCATATGTTTTCATCGATTAAACTTAGTCATTGAGGTAGGAAAAATAATTTAAGTCCTCTCACCAAAGCCACTGAGGATTGAAAAATTAATTAATAAGTGTCACTGATGAGATATAAACAGCACAGAGTGTTAATTAATTCGTGCAATGTGATTGTATTTTTTTTATCACTTAAAAATCATTAGATGTTCGATAAAAAAAAAGTGTTTTATATAGGTCTTAAGGAGAATTAATTGTTGTTGATGTCTGACAAATTTTAAAACGGACAGAATGAAAATTTATTCTAAAGAGATAATGTTATATAAGATCTTCCATGATTGTTGTTCGATTGATGGCACTAATTGGTGTTGACGGGGGGGGGGATTGTCTTTCATGGATACACACATACCTCGTTAGCTTCATATACAAGGCCTTGAATTTTTTATGATATTCATTAGCTTTTTGGGATTTTTGTGGAACTCTTAGTGTTTTGTACATTGTCTCTGTGTCTAGTAGCACTTTTGCATTTCTAGGGAGAGGGATTGGGGTGCTGTTGATTGATTGATTATCGATATTTGTTGACGGGTTAGTGGAGATTGAGGTGTTGTTGGTGTTTTTAAAGTCAATAGATTGATTGAGAAAAGAGAATTCAGTAGTAAAGTGATGAAATTTCGTGAGATATTTTTCATAGAACATAAAATTCTCCACAAAAAATGTTCTTTGTTTCTGAGATGAAGACCATTAATTGAATTAATGCAGAAACATTGCAGATTAGATTGTTTAGAGTTCACTATTTTACTACTGAATTATCTTCTTGTGAATAATGCTTCCCTGTTCAGAGTATGATTGTTCAAATGTTGATAAACAAAAATTTTAATCTCATTGTCAGAACATGTATTGCCATAATCATAGGAATAATTCCCCCTAAGATATTTTAAAATATATTATAGATTATTTCTACGTTCCCTGTCAACGCTTACAAAGATGAATTTATTCAAAATTACCTGTAATGTGAGAAGAGATGAGAAGAGATGAAAGAATATACTTAACATTGTCAATTGCACGATTTCTTTGATTTATATTTTAAGAAAGAACGAGTGAATTTTTCACCTCATCCTCCCAAAGATATTCACAAATCATCACTCCCAGCAAATAAAAACGGTAATTGAAAAAATGGCAAAATTTCTTTTTCCTTTTGTTTAATGTGCCATAATTACCTCTTTCGATGAACGTGAGAATAAATCCCCTGCCCTCAGAAAGTTGTCTCAGCCATAAAAAAAAAATATCAACGTTGAATATTGACGTCCTCCATTTACCCCCACAAATATTCTAAAAATATTCTAAACCGAAAAAACAAAAAATCCACGAAATTCAATTAAAAATTCATCCGTTCCTATGGCTTCCGCTCCAACTCACAACAATAAAAAACTCCTAACGTCATTCGAAAATCTCGCGTCTGCGCGCCTCGCCACTCCTTAATCCACCGTTTCCTGTCTCTATTTAATAGCGGGATCGTTCGTCCTCGCATCACACACTCCCCTATCCTCCAATATCGTCCGACCCAATTCTCCACCGCCCCGAAAACCCTCAACAATCAACAAAGACAATTAAACAATTATCCTCCGTCAAGGTAAGCGCTAAAACAAAAAATTAAACCCTAAAAAAATTCTTGAAAAAAAAATCCGCAATTTTTCCACTCTTAAATCCCCAATTCCATCATCATCATTACCACCACCACCACCACCATCATCATTATCATCATCATCATCATCACGCTCTATAGACACTGTTTACCCCGACCTAGTGCGCGTAATTCCATTGCCATTGAAAATTTTCGTGAGTCGCGGAGTTGAATTTTTTCATCATTTTGGAGCAGTGGAAATGGACGTTCGACGCGCCGGAGTGTTCTGTCAAACTCCGAAGAGCCAATAAATTAATTATCTCCATTAGTTCGATGATATTTTGGTGGAGTAATTGGACCTGCGAATTAACGTGATTGGATGACGTTTCAGTGGAGCCATTCGTTGGCACGTGCCACACGGCAAATGGTGTACACGAGGGACTTTAGGGGTTTGAGGTTAGGTACGAGTCCCTGCGCCGGCAGTGTTTTATTAATTAGATTAATTAACGCAGTTGGATCGATGATTTTGTACTAACAGAGTGGTGTGTTCTCGCGTGAAATGATTTCGAGACATTGACGCCTGTCCTCTAGGTGTTTTTGTGATTTTTTTTAGGCCGTGGAGGGTGGGGCGGGGGTGGCAGGGGGTTGAGAGGATTGTGTCGTTTGACCCTTAAGATCATTTGACCCTCAAGATCATTTGACCCTCAACTAAAAAGGAAAAAACTGCGTCAAATGGTCTTAAGGGATGTTAAAGATCCAACGGGTGAGAGCCGAGGGCTCAGAAAGGGTCATTTTACCCTTGATCTCGCATTCAAGGGTCGTTTGTCCCTTACGACCATTTGACCTCATGTAAAAACTGAAATTCTTCGCTAATAATGCCTTGTTAAATTTCCTCCTAAACCCACTCACCACCAAGATGAGTGAAAAATCCACAGACAAAATTCCTAACATCTCTAACTCCTCCCCCTCGTGAATTGATTAATAAAAAAAACCCTATTAATCAATGGGAACAATATTTCCAGCATTTTCTACGATGCTCCATAAAGGCCCTCGTCCCCTGGTCCTCTGTGGCCCCTCGGGAAGTGGAAAAAGCACCCTCATAAAACGAATGTTCGAGGAATTCCCCGACACCTTTGGCTTCTCCATCTCCCACACGACTAGGCAGCCCAGGCCTGGAGAGGAGCACGGAAAGCACTACTATTTCACCACCAAAGAGAAGATGCAGGATCAGGTGGACAGGGGGGAGTTCATCGAGTCAGCGATTTTCAGTAACAACATGTATGGGACGAGCAAGAAGGCTGTGGAGGATGTGATGGATGCTGGGAAAATTTGTGTTCTCGATATTGACACCCAGGGGGTCAAGCAGATCAAGAACACTTCGCTGAACCCACTGCTGGTGTTTATCAAGCCGCCTTCCATCGAGGAGCTTGAGAAACGTCTGTTGGCTAGGAAAACTGAGACTCCAGAGTCCTTGAAACGAAGACTTGACGTTGCTGCGGAAGAAATCAAATTTGGTGAGAGTTTTATTAATTTATTTACTTGGACTTGCCCCCGGAAAAATCCAAAATTTGCCACTTTGACCCCAGGTGAAGAATTATCTCAGTCAAAACATGAAAAAAAATGTTGATTCACACGTTTCAGGTGAAGAACCTGGTAATTTTCATCGCATAATTACCAACGATGACGTGGACAAGGCATTCGCCCAACTACGTGAGTTTATCCTCGACGAAGTGAACCGATCTGGTAAGAACGGAAGTTAAAAACACTGCATGACGTAAAAAATCATTGAAGCATTTATCTAAAGCGTTTATAGGGATTATTAATCAACGAAAATCAAGTCCAATCATGAAGCACTATTTAAAAGAAAAAGCATAATTTTGGGAGGTAATTTACAATAAGAATGAACACGTTCAGATCAGTTTATTTTCATATTTTTTTAGATTTAGTTTTTTGGGGTAAGAATAATGGTGTTCTTGATCTTTTTTAGCAGCTGATTGAAAATTTATTTATTTATATACCAAATTTATTTATACTTTTGAATTTTTTTCTCGTGAATTTGGCTCTTTATCGTGACGCTGGACACATTAAAATTTTATTAGTTCACTTGTCGTTCATGTTAGAGGATAAAACTGAGATTATTCACCAAATAAAGTTGTGTTCCAATAGATATAGGTTCTTACGACGATAAGTAATTTGTAATTGCATTAATTAAGGGTATTTTAATGATGTGGAATTTATTATGGAATTTTGTTGTGAAGTGGTGAATCGTACGAAAATTGATATTTCCTCTTTTATAAAATCGTGATTATTTCAGAGAAAATCTCTTGTGACATTTTCTCGTAAAATCACTCATTACTGAAGTAATTAGGCATTAAAAACAAATAAAAAATTGTCATTTTTTCGTTGTGTTTCACCACTTCATCACGAATTTTCTATTCTATAAAAAATAATTTACAAAATCAACTGAAACTATTTTCGCAGTAAAATATACTATTTTGATGGATAAAAAGTTTATTTGTTTTTTTTTTACAAAAAATGAAAGTTATCGATTAAAAACATCCACTGTTGATTATCATTTCGAATATCTTCTCCAGAAACTGTTGTACCTTTAGTTTGTAGATTAAGTGATTGTGGGGGCCTCCAGTATTTTCGAAACCTTCAAAATCTCTACAATATCCCCAATTGTCGAATACTGTATGTAAATAGAGCGCGTGAATATATTAGTACCTTGCATATTACAATTGACGATGCAATTTAAAGAGGCCCTCCTGTAGAAAAATCAATGTAAATTGTGTATAGATGAATAAATAACGTGTTTCAATGTTCAAATAATTGGTTATGGCAAGATATTTCGACGAATTCCGTCGAATAAATAGTTGTTGAAAATTGAACATATTTTATTTTAATTTGTTTAATCTACAGTCATTGTTCTGTAATTACTCCTGAAACTAGTGGATTCATCGAAAATTAGTGAAAGGAATTTCCTGATAAATCCATTAATTGAGAAATACTTGCATAATAATCTGTAAATTACCATTTGATAACCAAATTTCCGCAAAATTTCCTCCCTCAATACCCGAAAATGAAACGATATTCCTTCACAAACTAATTGAAAATTCATAATTAATTAATTGGATTCGCTTAATTGAAGAATTCCCCAGCTTTATTTCCCATTTTTTGAAGAAAATATCCAATAAAAACTATTTTATAAAAAAACTCTGGAGAATTTCATCTTTCTATACAACTTCTTTATTGAGCCATCTTCTATAAAAATTCCTCGTAATAAATTTTCGAAGTTTGTCCGCTTAATTTGTCTCCCCTTTCCATTTAAAAATAAAAAAAAAAATTTCATCCGAGGAATGTCAATAGAAAATATCTCAATAGAATAAGTTGTGTGAAAAAATTCTACCGACTTTTTCTATAAAAATATTTCCCACTGAAAATTGCCACAGCGAAAAAATCTCGCAGATAAGCTGTGGAATTTCCCAAGAAAGTTGTCCAAAAACGAACAAAAAGTTCAATATCCCGAGGAAAAAAGTCTAATTCCCCAAAATCCCTCTTTAAACTTTCCCCTAGATCCCCTCAGCTGCCCCCTGCTCCCCTCATCGCCTAAATCCCACCCCCTTAAGCCTCCGCCACTCGATTGCGTCGTAACTTCTCGCCATGATGATGCCGAATCTTATGAGGCTTTTCGCTCACCTCAATAGCCGCCACCTGGGGCACCTCCTCCCCCTGCACTACCCCCCTGTTACTGAGAGAATCCCCCGCCCCTTCCCCCCCGCCAAAAACATAGTTGATGACCTGTGGTCGGGGTTTAAAAATGTTCTCGACCTCATCATCGTCGATTTTCCGGTTACTTGATGGTTCTTTAATGTAGAGTTCAGTTATGGCTGGACGGGCTATTCTCTCGCCCCTAATGGCGTCAATCAACATCTTGAGAGCGTCCTCGAGCTCGGTGTGAGGTGGCTGTTCCCGACGGTATTGATTGACGTATGGCGGAGGGTTGTGCCTCCAGGGGGTAATATCATCTTGGGGGGACTGTTGATGGTGATCTGAGCTGTCCGGGTAACTGTCGTAAGATGTTTGATAAGATTTTTCGAGGGGTTGACGGACTTGAGGAGCATCCTCGGGGTAATACGCCTCGTACGTGACTGGACCATTACTCAGATCGTATCCAGCGCTGTAAAAAGATGATGGGGGATCTTTTGGGTCGTTTGTGTCGTGGATATTCAAATAGCTCTTAGACAATGTCATCCACTTGAGAAACCTTTTTTTTGAGGTGAGGGTCAAACGTCCCTTAAGGATGTCGGGTTGAGGGTTGAATGGCCCTTGAGGATCTCCTTGCTCTCACCCGACCCTTAAGAGCATTTGACCCTCAACTCCAACCGGACTCAGGGGTCTGTTGACCCTCACTACCATTTGACCCTCAACTAGAAATAAGTTTAAAGTTCCCAGAAACGTTTAGGGCTGAGGGTCAACTGGCCGTGAGGGTCAAACGGCCCTTACGGACGTCTGGAGCTGAGGGTCAAATTGTGGTAAGGGTTAAATGACCCTTAAGGACGTCTCGAGTTGAAGGTGAAGTGACCCCCAGCCGGAAACAAGGAGAAACCCCATATTTTTGGTATCTAGTACTCAAAAATCTACTCACCGGGCTTGATAAGTCCTTCCAACGGCCTCGCTCCCTAAAAATCCACTATTATCAGACTCAAATCAACAAACAACTCCCATTAACTTGCGACAAAACTCACCGACAAGGATAATTGATAATGCCGTGAGAAACCCTCGCCCAGTAGTCATGATTATCGTTTAAACTCCCTGCTGGTTTGAACGCTCACATGCAACTACATACCGCTGGGAAATTCAGACATCTGGGGGGTTTCAGTGAGGTGTATTTTCAGACGCAGACAAAAATAAATCCCAACTCGCTCACTCGATACACATTCCAGTTATCTCTCCATGGATTTAATCTCAAAGAGCTTAATTCATGATGTAATCATACTGGAAGTTCGATCCTGAATTCCATAACGCTTGATATTTGATTATGGCAGAACTTTCTGATTTGGAAAGTTTTTCTTCATTCACTTCAACTTTCCCAGAATTTTAGATGAATATCGTATGATCTTGGAGGTCTACAGGGATTCCCATAGGGGTTTTATTAATTTTTTAAGAACAGAATAACTTTTTCTTCAACGCGTTGGCTGATTAAATGCGGAATCATCTCCTTAAGGATGTTCTACACCCTTTCTGCCAAAATTCACGTTTTTTTAATTTTTCTGGCAAACTTATGATGGAATTGACGTGAAAAAATATAACGTTTTTGCGTTTTGTCATTATTTAATGACTGACGAAATTTTAAGGTGGTGCGAACATTTTCCTGCGTTTTCTCTAAACTTTTCAAAAAGAATCACAAAACTGTAGAAAAAACGCATGAAAAATAATGCACCACTACGCAACTTCGTGAGCCATTAAAGAATGACAATCGATAATTTGCCAGAAAATGAAAACAACGTCAATTTTGGCTAAAAGGCTGTCGAACATCCTTAAGGATAACCAAGTACTTCAGCTATTTTTTCTCCAGTCGAACGCTTTTATACTTTTGCAGTCGAACATCAGAGCTTTCATTTGAGCCCCATTTGACCCCAAGTTTCCGGACATTTTATTATTTGAATTTTGCAGGTCTGAGTTTGTCTCGATATTGAACCGTTAGAAAACATTTTGAAAATCTGAAAAAAAATTTGAATGTTCACTTTTGGAGGAAGATTGATAAAATATGTTTTTTTAATTACGAGCATTTTCTATAAATAATATATATTATCCACATAAATAATTTATATCATAACAAATTTGTTTCTATTCAGAATTTTACTAGAAATCTATTTCGTGCCTAAAAATGGTATTTCTGAAGGTTTAAACAATTGCAATTATTTATTTATAAACAACGACTGTTTAAAAAATAATTCGGCTTGAGAGCGCTTCTTTGGGGGTGTCCCGCAGCTCTGCAGAGGTCTCTACCCCCAGCAGTGTTAATCACCCCTAATAGAGCGTAAGTCCCCCCAGGTGTTCTCGCATTCCAAACCAGCCCTTGGCGATATTTCTAAGAACCCACCCCTCTCCCTCCATCTAAACCCACAATTGTCGTCACGTCCCCCTCCCCTCCCCCCCACAACCTACCCCCTCCTTTCAAAACGATGCAAAATAATCTCCCCCAGCAGAACACAACAAGCGACTGCGAGCCCCACCCCAAGAATGAACAAATACGACAGCATATCCGCAACGGAAAACGGCTTGGCTTCAGCGAGCTCCTGGTCCCGACCGGTCTCCGCAAACTGGTGTCTGAAGAGATACCTATTGGTGATCCCCTTCCAAAACTCCACGAACCCGCCCTCCTTCATCCTCAGGATCAAGTGATTGAGCGATCCCTCGAGAAACGAATTCTTAGGTATCAAATAGGCGAGATAGTACCGCTGCGGGCAATCGGGAATAAGATGCAGAAGACTTCTGCCGTCTTTCCCGACGTAGCGATGCCTCTCGAGGCTGAAGGTGTTGGACCTAGAGATGGCAGCAATAGTGCCCTCAGCAGTGATCTGAATGGTCGATCGTGACTCATTATCCACGCCCAATCTGATTTTCCCCTTGAGGCGTTGGAGAACTGGCCGATCCGAAGGATGTGGCTCTCCATCGAGAGGTCCAAAGATGTCCATCAAGCCCGGATTGTTGACCCCAACGAACAGTCCCGAGTGGTCCAGCTGCTCCAGCGTCTCAATAGCCGGGTAAAACGTCCGATTGGTGGAGGAGTGGTAGAGGACCCCAGTGAATGCTCCCATGGTGGTCATCCCCAGCAGGAGGAGAATTCCATTGAGCACCCTCTCGGTCTGGATTTTCATCAGTTTCCCCGGCGATCCCACGAACAGCATGAAGGTGTCGAGGAATACCACGTGGTAGCCCGGAGGTGGCCGGCCCCGACGGTACTGCAAAATCCGCCAGAGGAGGGAGGTAATTACGAGACCCACCAGGAAACACATGAGAACGGTTGGGTCCAAGTGGGAGAAACAGCGGCGCCAGCGGGGCATTTCCCCGGGGGCGGGAACCACTATGCAGACAAGATCCTCGTCGACCGACTCGGAGAATACCACGGCGTCTGATGGGGTTCCGGTGCGCGCGTAATTCTTCACGTATCTGGTGTTGAAGCTTATATCGTAGCGTCTTGTTGCTACGTCACCTGGGGATTATTTTTTTGTCATTATCAGGGAGTTTTGCGTGGAAAAATTCTCTAGACATTGTTCATAGAATTCTATAGATTTTCTAAATGAGAATCCTGTAGAATTTTATATAGGACTCTTTATATGAGACACCTATTGAGCATTCTTTAATGTATGTCTATAGACTTTTTAACACGAGAATCCTATAGAACATTCTATAGGGCAATCATTTCCTATGACGCCACAAAGATGTGAAACGCTACATAAATTCCCTTTTTTAATGTAAAAAATCTTCTTCAATGTAATGGATTCTCACATTAAAAATCTGTAGAGAATCCTATAGAACACTAGCAAATCCATTAGATTTTCTAAGGTATTTGGATTATTTTCCAATGAATTCGCGTGATCCCATCGCTCAGCTACAGAATATTATCCAAAAATCCATGCCCATTCTATAGATAATTCTATAGCATTGTCCTATCGAAAATTATATACAATTTTCCTCAGGCAAAGCGTGAAATCTCGCTACAGAATTTTCTATAAAATTTCACGCTATTTTTAGACATTGTTTATAGAATTCTATAGATTTTCTAAATGAGAATCCTGTAGAATTTTATATAGGATTCTTTATATGAGACACCTATTGAGCATTCTTTAATGTATGTCTATAGACTTTTTAACACGAGAATCCTATAGAACATTCTATAGGGCAATCATTTCCTATGACGCCACAAAGATGTGAAACGCTACATAAATTCCCTTTTTTAATGTAAAAAATCTTCTTCAATGTAATGGATTCTCACATTAAAAATCTATAGAGAATCCTATAGAACACTAGCAAATCCATTAGATTTTCTTTGGTATTTGGATTATTTTCCAATGAATTCGCGTGATCCCATCGCTCAGCTACAGAATATTATCCAAAAATCCATGCCCATTCTATAGATAATTCTATAGCATTGTCCTATCGAAAATTATATACAATTTTCCTCAGGCAAAGCGTGAAATCTCGCTACAGAATTTTCTATAAAATTTCTATAACCCCGCTATAGAACTTTCTTCGATCCGGGAAAGACAATTCCCTCGTAATCACACCGACACAATCAAACACAAATTCCCTCCATTACCAAACACTTCGCCCCCGATAAAATCACAGAAAAGATACAAATCACCACGCGCCCCCCCTCCCCCCCCTCAAAATCGTCCCCATTCCCACGAAGCGAACCAACAACAAAACGGAGCAAAATACGAGCAATAACATTCTCTCGCCAAAAGATTGTCATCTCCAGTTACTGACCCATCGTCGCAGTGAGCGTTCCATTTCCCAGATCAGTTCCCCACTTTTTCGCAGGCACCTCAATGATCGCCCTCAAATTCACGTGATTAACAAAATTTCTGAGCATGTAACCGTCCGGTCCGAGCGCATCGTTCAGCGACTTGTCACCCCTGTTTCCTCCCCTGAAGACGCACGCCGGTGGCGAGTGAAACATTCCGACTTTGATGCGATACCCGTTGAAATTCAAGGGAGGATCGGGACAGAGGGATCTATCGCCCTGTGTTATCTCCCGGACTCTGCCATACAACATCGTTGTTTCGTTCCTGAAGAAGGGATCGTACGTCCAGAATGTTCGATCGTCATTGAAGAGCGCGATGAAGATGTTGGAAATACCGAAAGTGCTCCAGACTCGTTGGAAAGTGCCGGCGACGAGGTGAATTACGTTTAGCCTCGAGACATCATCATCATCATCATCATCATCGTCTGGGATTAGGAGAATCAGAACGGGTTCTCTGGTCCAGGTGAACTCATCATCAAAAAGAACATTGAGATCTCCAACACTCAACACAACGAGTCTCACTCCAACCAAATCACTTGGATGTTTCGTCAACGTCCTCTGAGAGTTTTCTGATTCCCCCTGACGGCGATGACTAGACCCCATTCCCTGGTCGTTCGAAAAACGCGATGTTAATGAGACAGAAAATGCACAGGTACTGCCAGTGCCGGCATTTCTCGACACTGACGAGATGAAATCCTCGACACGATGTGATTGATTCGTGGGGTAAACCTCCAGGGACAGGTGTTTCAGTCCACTGGGAGGCTCACCTGGCTGACGGTAAAGGCACATGCTGCACACCGTGTTCAACCAGAAAATGGCACGAGTTTCGCTCGAGTATTTTTCATTCAGGTGAGTGACGCCGGCAACGTGAAGCGGCACTTGGGGAAGGAGAAGTAGCAGCAGGAGTAATTCCATCGTCATCCTGGTGAGTTGATTTGTTTTATGTTGTTATTTGTTTTTTTTCAGATGAGATTTGTTTTTTTTCCATTCCCATATAGCCTTCCCATATATTAACCTGTTTATGGTCCCATCCCACCCCCCACTTCAATTGAATCTCCTATCCAATTAGCAGAGTAATCTCAATGTCATGAATGCAATTGACAACACGAATAAAACAAAAAAATAAGAAGAAGAATTTAAAAGGAAATAAACAAATGGATTTTATGGTTTTAGAGCCGTTCATTACCTTTGATATTGATAAGATTTGTCAGATTTACGTGTAAAAGAAGTACATGCGGAAACTTTCTGTAGTTACATCCAACTTATACTTCGTTAGTGGGATTCCAAGCGAAGACTACGTTCA